GAATTCGAAATCAATCAGTCATCACTTACAAAGAAATTATTAGGTCATATAAACACTACGATTTAACGGATGGTTGTGTAGAGATTTGATGTGAGTGAATGACCTAGCATCTTCAGCTTTTGGTACCTATTAAAACTCATGAGGACGGCATCCACATAGATTGTTTTACAACTTTATTTCGGGAGTTATTGACCGCTACAAAACTAAAGCTTCTCGGTTCTTATTCATATGGATTATCAGTGAGCGTCAATGCAAGTATGAATCAAATGGAAGAAACACATATAAATCAGACTGGCGCAGTGGTAAATAGATCGCAAAACAAACATTTATGTAAGCCTTCTACATTGGTGCGGACCTCACTGTCCTCAATAACCTCATTATCGTCATTAAACCTTGAATATCTGCGGTATCTTCACAGGAAAAATTTTCAGTTTCAGTTTGCGAAGGACAGGAGGCCTGATGGCATGTGTTATTCCTGGCAATGGTGGTCCCTTAGTTGATCCACCTTTCTTTCGAAAGAATCGACAGATGGAGCCTCAACCACGTGCTGAGGTCATGAATTCCACTAGTTGATGATTCGATGGGGAAGCCGATAGTCAGCTGACAAGTAATTTGTTCTTGGCTTGTGAACTTTTTTGGAGTGTTCTAGTAAATTATCTGTTTTGGAAGACAAGAAAAATGGGGGCATATAAGGTGCAAATTTGGCACTAGGCAATTTGAAAACTGTAAGCAAGTCACCTCTAATTCTGCGATATTACAACGGGAAAAGGTTCAGCTTGGCCAGTCGAGCATCATACGGAAGGTTCGCTATTCCGGGAATCAGCTTAGTTGCCGTTCTCTGAACTTTTTCCAGAAGCTCACTGTCTTTTTTTAAGCAGGGGCTAGCCGCTTGTATGCAGTACTCAAGTTTAGGACGAACGAACACTGCATACAAAGTCAAAAACGTTTTAGCGGCGACATGACTAAAAGCCCTACGTATTGACCATAACGTTATAAAACCTTTGGCGGCTATTGGACGGCAGTGTGCAGTAGTCTTTAAGTTTTGACTAACGATAACTCCTAAGTTATTATATGTCTGGACGACAGGTAGCTCAGTGTTATTCATCGTGTATGTATCTGTACCTTGATGACCGATATGCATCACAACACACTTGGCAGTATTTATCGGCAACTGCCATGTTTGAGACCATTCAGATAATTTCTTTAGGTCATTTTGGAGTTCTAAGCTATCACCCTCACATCGTATCGTTCTCCATATCTTGACATCGTCAGCATATAGCAAGACCGATGATGATAGGAGACGAGGAAGGTCGTTTACATACACGAGGAATAGCACTGGTCCCAAAACTGTATACTGGAGCACTCCACTAAGCACAGCTCCCCAGATAGATAACTTTGAGTTCACCCGAACTCTTTGTTGACATCCAACTAAGAAGTCTTTTATCCACATAAATAGATTGCCTCCAATCCCGACATTTCTTAACTTATATAACAGCCGGTCGTGCGGAACCTTGTCAAAAGCTTTGCTGAAATCAATGGAGGATACGTCTACAGGTAACTTTTGGTCCTTAAGAGTGCACCAGCTTTCACGAGCCTCTAATAAGTAAGTGAGACAAGAGTAACCTATTCCGAAACCGTGCTGCTTCTCCAAAATGATCCGCTTTTTAACGCGATACTTAAATAGCTCCTTCCGAATAATCTTTTCTAAGATTTTAACAACCACACTAGTTAGGCTAACGGGGCGGTAATTCTCAGGTTTGTGTTTCGTACCTGTTTTGAAGACAGGACTTACTATGGCGTTCTTTCATTCTTTTGGTAAAAAACCCTGCGTTACGGATAAGTCAAAGCATATGCTTAAAGGCTTAGCAACGAAGTTAGATAATTCCTTCAGTAGCCTAGGATGCAATTCATCGAGCCCCGTGGATTTACCTATGTCAAGCTTATTTAGTGGACCAAAACATCGAGTTCTTTAATGGTCACGCTATCCAGTGTATGTGTGACGGGGATCTGTATGCGCTGATAGGAAGGGTGCTCCTATGGTGTATACATTGCTGAAATGGTTTGAGAACACGTGAACCTTACCAAAGTCGTCCTCCACTAGTGACGTGGCAGTACTGTCTCCCCATAGAGCAGGAATATTTCCTCTTCTCTTTGTCCTTTGGTTTATATAATAATACAAGAATTTAGGACATTCTATGGATTCCCTAACAATCTTTTCTTCGTACAACTTTCCAGACTTACGGAGGGTCGAAGCACAGGTATTCCGGACTTTTCTATACTGGGATTTAGTTTCATCAGTCTCCAGTAACCTAAATCTATCCCACATTTTTCTTCTCTTACAGAGAAGGATGCGGACCTCCCTACTGAACCATGATGGGGAGTTTTTCGGCCCCCTTGGTATAGTCCAAGGGATGTGGGGTGTGGTAATTTTTAAGTACGAATTTTGAAATGCATCCCAGGCCGTTTCAATTGAGGACTCTGGGTCTATTGTCCAATCTACTAACGATGCTGAGTGCATGATATCTGGTATATTTGCTTTCCAGACGTTAGGTCTGGATTGAGCTGACGCGTGCTCGTGACTGACAGTTATATGGAAGTCGAAAATTAAAACTGCGTGATCACTTTTACCTAGGGGTGGCATATATTGAAGGTTCGCAACGTCATCCACACAGTGAGTGAGTATCAGATCTAGTAAGGATGATTCAGTGTCCGAATCGTACCTAGTCGCTTCTTTCACATGTTGCACTAAAACACATGTGATAACCGCATCAACTAGTTCCTGCTCGAAGGGATTTTCTGACGATTCAGTTCGCAGATTTTCCCAGTCTACCATAGGTGCATTAAAGTCCCCTAGGATTAAACATCGACCACTTTGTGACCAAGTACTGAGACTGCTTATCAGGACCTCATTTACCTCACAGCTTGGACTACGATAGACCAAACCAATCAGCAGCTCTTGTCCCTTGCATTTCAAGCGGAAACTAAATACTTAACAAGTCACACTCTCATGGGGTACACTGTCGATAATGGCAAATGGGATAGCATTCTTAGTGAATAGAGCTACTTCTCCTACTTTACGCTTTTGTATTCTGTCGGCTCTTACTAACGTAAAACCCTTGAAATCAAGTTCCATACTATCTATAGCCTGTGTCATCCAGGTTTCTGTTACTGCAATTATGTCTGGCTTTGTAGAGTCAGTCTGTACACCTAGTTCCGATCGCTTACTAATTAAGCTCCGGGCATAAGTGTAACTGATCCGAAGCCTATTTAAGTGACTTCGTGCTTCACCCAGAGTGGCTTCGGCATCATTCTCTGTCGAAGCCTTACAACCCGAAAATTTACAATTTTTAGGTCCTTTTCGCCAGCGTCTAACCTAAGTTGTAGTTCTTTTTCGGCTTCCCGTCTTTTTCACGGTCTGCCAACGGTAAGTCCTTTCGTATAAAGACTCCTGAAGCCTTTAATTTATGTCCATTCTGTAAAATTAGGTCACGTTCGTTCGAAGAGTTAAATACAACTTTAAGCAGTCTGGAATGACTTGGTTTCAAGTCCGCTAGACTCCCTAGTCTGTACACGTTTAGCAAGGAGACCCCGGTGATATTTTGAGGCATGAGTTGATTAAGCAGCTGCCTAATCAGCACAATACCATGCTCAAAATGAGCTTTAAGTTCAGAGCTTTCACTCTCCTTGATTCTATGAAAAATAGCTGATCTGTTGCTATGATCAGCTTTCGATTTTACGACTACTTTCGCGGGGGCAGGATTTCTTTTTATATCGCTACTATTTTTCTTCCTTACAACCTGTATCCTCTCGTCAACGGTGCTGGGTGAAGCAACAACAGTTGCGTCAAATCTAGTGTTGCATTCTAGAGGGTTGTCGACGACCTGAGAGGTCAGGTTATGTTTACCGCTTGAAACCGATCAAGCCTTGCGATTGCGGCTTTTAGGCGTTTCCTGTGGGATCCCATCTGGGAGACGATGAACAGAAGAACCTACTTTCCTTGAGCTTTTGTTTAAGGCAGGGCCATTTGGAGGCTGCTTTTCCTTCTCTGACCGGCATGAGTCATCTGCCATTGAACTAACCTTAGTTTGCTTCAGGTCGGTTTGTGTGTCAACATATCGAGTGCTGTTTGACGTGTTCCGATTACGCTTGCTAAAACGCTTCTTTGCAGCATCAACCAGTGAGATGGCCTCGGTTAACAGGCTGTTTACATCCGAACAGCACTGTTGACAAAGCCATACACAATCCTTCTTACTGAACCGTTTGAAAGCCACAGGCGTTAAGTTCGTGCAAACTTCGTGGTACCAGCTTTTGTACTCGTCGCACTGCATGCCGCTTTCAACGGGATAACGACAACCCGGACGTTGGCAACTGCTTTTTTTTACACTGTCCGGTCATTTAAAAGGAGTCCTTTTCAAAAAGGAAAGAGACATGACAATAATCAGAAACAAAAAATAATCAGTGACCAAAAAGTGAAGAACTGTAGATTGTTAGGACCAAAAGTACTAACAGATACAATTGAAGATGAGGTACTCGAGAGTACTAGCGACAAAACTAATTGGGGGAACGGTAAAAACGGTACTCTAGCCGAATACTTTAACTGAAATGAATTCAATTAAAGTAAAAACAGTAGTCTCGATACGTAACAAACGATCAAAACAGTGAAATTTACTCAGTGAGGAAAAATACCACTGTCCTTTTTAAATAGCGCGCAAAAATCTACTAGTCTGTGGTAAGAATGTAAAATGTCCCCTTAAACTGGTCATTCAACTTGGAGTAAAAATATACGAAGTTAAAAATGAAATTAAAAGAAGATACTTACGCAGACAAGAACTGAAGGAAAATAATAAACTGTCCATCACTAAGACTCTCACAGCTTACTGGATTGGTAAGGTTTGCTTAAAGCAGTCAAAGCTCTTGGACTTGCTGTCAACATTGAGAATCAGTCATTCAGAAATCAGCTGGCTCATACCACGTTGCAAACATTAAAAAAATTGGGCGTTAAATTGCTGCGGTTGATTTAGACGTGACGGTGCACGGGCTGTATAGATTCGTGTTGTCAGTTCAAATCCTTATGACATTACTTCTAGTCGTTATTACCCGATTGTCTTAGTCTCACCATTTACTCTGTTGATAGTTACTATAGATCTATTTCATCTGATGTAGGTACATCTTATATCTTTACTTAGTCGTCGTTTCATTATCTTGTTCTCTTATCCAGTTTCCCGTGCACACGCAGCTCTATACTCTCCCGTGGAAGTATGTTATAATGGCTACACTTTTAAATAATGCTGGTTGTGCTTTAGATCCTGATAATTCTGCCCTGGAAAGTTCGCGATTGTTTTGTAACTAGCGGAAACGCTCGAATAAACTGTATACAGTCGCAATGACCTGCGTGGTTAGTTCTGAATGATCATCTGTTTGCTTATCTTTTGCTTTCATTTGCTACTGCTCTCGATTTTTAGGCCAAATTTTACGACGATGTGATTGAGGATGTTATAAGTGGTGTTAAAGATGAGTTTGTTGAGGATGGTGGTGATATCCAGATACTTGAAGAACTCAAAAAGGTTTTACATGTTTCACGGCTCACTATTATTTAGCTATGGAAGTCCAAACTTGCTGAGACCCACGTCTTTAGCCCAGAGCCTGTCGGCGGAAGTGCTGCACAATATTTGAACCTTTTGCAACGTTCTCAAGTTCAGGTAATAAAAATGTTTAAATTGAGTAAAATATGGTAACTTTGACAACTGTATTCGGCGACCATAGTACTATATGTATTCTTATATATGACTATTATATTGGGTTCCAAGTTTTTAAATGCTTATTCTTGATGTGGCTTTATCATAAAAATACTTGTCTGTAACTAATTATGTACCCCATTTACATCATGTAATATCGCGAGTTTTGTCATAATACTGAAAATGGAATCTAGTGCAAGATCGATTTGTGGTTCATCAAGGTGCACCAATTTTTAACTCCGACCTTGACATTCTCAACTAAACCATTACTCGTCTAGATTTTATTTTGATTTCTCATCATATTCCTCACAGTCTCAACGCATCTGTTAAACGTATGAGATGCTCATAATTCTTTTTGCAGTTAACTTAGTCTGCGCAAGAGTATTGATTCCTCAGTTTAAAGCTAATATTACATGTTTTGGTCCGTGTGCATGGTTTGCATAGCCAGTGCAACATTAATCCAGTGATTCAATTCCCTGTATAATTGTGTATGTCCCATTTTAAGTCACACTCTGTGGCAGTCGGGGACACTATCCTATTACTCAAACCAGAGTAGGTGGAGAGGAATTCGAATCAGTGACCTGTTTGTTAAAATCCGAGTCTTTTGATTGGGATATTGACATAATTGTTACAAATTGGCAATGGATTTACCATTCTACGGTCTTTTGAAATATCTGATAAAATTGAAGGGTGCATTAAACCTGTCTCGGAATTCACTATCATTATACATGTCTTGATTTTCATGTTGCACATATCAACAAACTATTAATATTTATCATCAATTAAAACTTCAGATCCATCCAAATGTCGTCAGTTCTGGAAATTCCTCCGTAGCTTTACCAATGAGGCAGTTGAACACAATCATCCGAACTGGGTCAGATCAGACAACAGCAAGCATGGCTCTCCCTGGTACCCTTTCAGGTTTGCGACTACCTGCAGCACGGGCCTCTGTCTCAGTTCCCACTCAAATGCGATCTCGTGAGCCAGTACAAGCTACTCCGTGTTTGGCCTCAGTTATACTACCAACTCAGTCGCAAACACAAAAGCAACCTCAAACAACCAGCGTTCTTCCCGCTGTGCTTACTTCCAATCCAAGTGGAGCTCAATCAAGACCTGCAACTACTAACGTTCAACAAGTTACAACACCCCAGCTCGCCACATTGCCTTCAGGTCTTACAGGTCGGTAGATTTATGTACTCATCTTAGGTTTTCTAAAGTTATATATTTAATATTTTACATTTGACAGTCAAAATAAATTCGATTGATATTCTTCATGTATCATTTACAGGACATCTTGTGCAAATCGGCCAACAGACTTATCTCGTCCCTCAGCCGTTAACAGCAGTCCGTCAACCTGGTGTTCATCTGGCTGTTCCTCAGTATATAGGTAACCCAAGTGTGGCAACCAACAATTCCATGGCTTCTGATTCCAAACCTTTTACTGTTTCAGACATTGGGCAGTTTAAACAAGTGAGTTTTTCAAGTATTTCTCAGTTGAGTCTAAAGAATAATAGTTATAGTTTACTAAGCCACCTTCTTCGTTTAGCTGATACATTTTAGTACGTTACCTTTAGTTATTACTTAGAATTAGTTCGTTTTATAATTAAGCGGAAAACATCGTGTTATTTTATGGTTTTAGATATTTTTGAAATAGTGATGATTTTGATGAAAGTAATATTCCTAAAACTTTTTGAATGCATCATTTAGCGGTTAGTAAACCCTAGAGACGTGTTTTTGTTTTTACCCGTGTAATGACATTTAACACATCAGTCAGTCAGTATCAACGTAGAACTTCGTACGTACGTACATCAGTTCGAGTTGCCACACCACAGCACAGAAATGCAGTGGTCAATTCAAATCCCGTAGTGGTAGAGGTAATAAGAGTATAAGCAGTAATCGGAAAGATTAGTGTTTGGAGGTGTTACTTAAAGAGTATAATACAGTGAAATAAACTTGGGAAGAGAAAAAAAAGAGACAAAGGAAAATCAGGAGATCAAAATTTGGGAGAACACAAAGAGTGGATGCACCTGCGCAATTGCAAACGATTTTGAGCCATGTCATTCAAGGTCTCTAACCATCGGTTGCTATCATCTCACGGTCCCCAACCAGGAAGTCTACACCTACCGACATGACTCAGTCCACTTGTCAATGACTTCATGGACTTGTGCCATGTTTTGGTCTGGACGCCCCTAACTTTCTTCCAGCCCACTCCTACACCATGAAAGATCGCACGTCGAGGCAGTCGGTGGTTGGACATACGTAACACGTGTCCCAGCCATCTCAACTGATGAAATTTCACCACATCATCAATTGATTTGCCATCTTTACCTAGTACCCGTTTCCTAACAACTGCATTACTTACTCGATGGTACCAGCATATACGAGCAATATTTCGAAGACACCTATGATCAAATACTAGTAACCTACGAATATCCTCTACTCTTACCGGCCATGTTTCACTGCCATAAAGTAGGACGGAACAAACTGCTGCGCAGTAAACACGTCCTTTGGTTGGTAGACGGATATCTCGCCTACGCCATAAATGACGCAAGTTGGTAAAAGCTAGTCGAGCCTTCTGTATCCGTGCTGAGATTTCGTCACACACCATACCACAAGGGCTGATGAGACTTCCAAGATAAGTGAAGCGATCGACACGCTCAATTACTTCACTGTTTATCATTAGTTCGGGTGTCAATACAACCCAATCCTGAAGCAACATTTTGCATTTCGAGGGAGAGAATCGCATCCCGAACATGCTTGCATTGTTGCTTAGAGTGGTCAGAAGACTCTGCATTTTGTCAGCGTCTTCACCAAATAAAACTATGTCATCAGCATATTCTAAGTCAACAAGTGAACCTCTCGGTAGAAGTTCAACCCCTGTAAATTAAGATGAGGAAAGTGTTATCTCTAAAAGTACGTCAATGACAAAGTTGAACAAGAATGGAGACAGTGGACAGCCCTGACGAACACCACTTGAGGTAACACACAAAGTTATGTTTCTAGTAGACTCCTATCAAATTAAGGATTTCTCTCTTCAAAATATTTTTCAAGGTTTTGTTTCCAGTTGTAACTTTCTTTTGTGTAGACTGTCATTTACTGGGATATGTACAAATAGTAGAGATTTCCATTTGTTTGGGATTAATTTCTTGAGCTCAGTGTAGTTAAAATCAACTTCTGGGGACTCATTTTGACCGCTAATAAAGAGAAAATATAATATACCATTTCCTTTTATTGTTTCACGCTTTAATAATGGTTATACCTCCACTCCTTTATCTGTATAAACCGTATTTTCCTAAGCATATTTATCTGGTGTTGATTGATAGCAATTCGTAAAACGTGATATCGCAGCGAGATGAAATTCTATGTGCATAGAAATAATTTGTATATTATACTTTTTTGGTACCGTTTGAGCAGTGAATAAAGCTTCGATAATGTATCGTTTAATGCATAACACAGGGTGTATATATTTCGCAATACGACGCATTGCGGCCTTATTTAATTAGTGCTACAAATTACTCAATTCGCTTCTCTTTTAAAAATGGGACATGTAGTGAGATATGATAGTTATTAGGATTCATAACTTTAGTTTCGATTATTTACGGTCTGTTATATATATAATTCTTACCCATACATTGCTTTTAACTGTTACAGACACAGGTCGATGGTGTCCATGATAGCGATGATGAAAAGTTCTGTGATACTCCTGTATCACAATCGATGAGCGTACCTGGGCGTCGAAAGAATCAAAACAGCGGACAGCATAATTATAATGATAGTGTTGCATCCCATGCCCATCATGGTTCAGATCTAGAAGATGATGATGACGATGATGATGACTTAGTCCCTGCTACTCCTGGTTTCACCCCACACTCGTCTATTTTATCTCACTACAACACTAGTCGTTATGTGATGGATACTCCAAGAGACATGGGTGGGGGCACACCTCTTGTAAGTGCCCCACCCACTCCTATGACCCCACCTTCCGTATCAGTCCCAGAAAGTCACTTACGCCCTGGACAACAGTCTTTAGCTACTCATTCACTCCACACTGCACAAACACCTGCCTCCAAACGTCGACGACTTTCACCATACCACGGGAAAAATACAGATACAGATGAATCTGAGGGTTGTGATGATGGCGAAGATCCAGAAATAGTAACTACTACCACTACACCGACCAACCCAAAGTAAGTCAATTCATGTCTAATTATTGCCTTGAAATAAACTGTATACCATTACCTTAGTGTGTACTGTGTAGCAAGATACTAGTAGTCGTAATTCAAGGTACCCTAGATTTTTGAAACTTAGTTATCCATAACATTTTAGACCCAAAATATCCACCCTATTCGATCTAGAAAGTCAGGTAGAGATATTGTATCTTAGCTTTCACACCTGTATGTTAAACAACCTGTTGTACGGACGTGAAGTCCCTTGAATCAAATAAAACTTGTTTCAGATTTTTATTGTCTTTTACCCGTAGTATTTTACGTCTGGTGTATTATTTTCGGAGGTCGAACTGGAGTTTTCTACCATAACCTGCAAGTACGACAGTTTGGTCAAATATATCTCATACTAATTAACTCCAGGTTGGTTTCGAACGCATTTCACCAACTGATGCTTCTAAAACGCAGTGGTAATATCCTAGTTCCTATAGTATAATTATTTATTTGGTTCCATTGCTTTCACCTTCAGTGGGACATCTATTTGACCGTCCAATGTTTCGATTGTTTCTTTGTGTTTCAGATATTTCAAGTGATCTGTATTTAAAATCTTCATTTTCGTGACGCTACTCATATTTTGCAGCTTTTACTTTATGTTGTATGGTAGTTGGGGTTTCTCCTGATTATTGGTATGAGTCTCAACGACCCTTTTTAATGACTTTTGTTTAAAATATCACTAAACTCTAGTTATTTTGTATTGATCATTAACAGCGAACTATCCATAGAAAACTACGAAAATACCGTTGATCCTAAGCGAAAATTGGATCAAGTGAAGCAAAAACTTAAACAGCGTCCACAACAAGATAAGAATTCAGTCAGTCCTAAGAATAGTCGTATAACAAAACAGTTTTCATCCCCAACTGAATCAGAGCTAGGTGTTCCAGATCAGATGGAATTCCTTGAAGGAGATCCTCTAAAAGCAGAAGAGGAAGGGGAAGAAGATGAGGAAGAAGAACCTCTGAATTCAGAAGATGATGTGAGTGATGAAGAACCTGAAGTGCTGTTCGAATCGGATAATGTTGTTGTTTGTCAGTATGATAAGGTGAGTTCCGATAGGAATTTAGAACAATTGATAAGTTTTCTGCTTTTTCACGTAATTGGTGAATTAGGCCAATAAGAAAATACTCATATCCACTCATTAGCTTCACTAAATGCTAGAAATGCTTCTACGATATATGTGATTAACTACGTGCCACCATATGTTCTTTATTTCTACAGGCCATATTTAACACCCGTAAATTAATACAAATGAACTTTATGCAATGTATGCATCCTGTTAATAGGCGGACAAAAACATAATTTATGTCGGATATGTTTGTGAAAGGCCGACGATATTCTTGTACACACGTCGACATTTCATTAGCCATCAGTCCCCAAGACCTCATGGAACTTCTAAGGTAGTTGTAATGGTTGGTCCTTCCAATCACTTAACCTGATATTTTCAAGTTAGATATCTGCCCATATCAGTCTTAAAATTAGAAGGGAAACACCTCACTTAAAATCTTTGCCTACTTTGGTTTGAGCAATCTGGAAATAACATCGGTCACCAGACGAGCTATGGCTACAGTTTGTAATTGGCTGCTGAGTTACACTTAGTGTTTACTTATATGTGTCTGTGGGATCCTCACCGTTTTTTGGACATAACGATCATTTTTATTGTTTAAAATTTTTCAGTTACCGTTAATAGCTGTGAATTTACTTGGAAAAAATACCGGGAACTTATGTTTGCTTAAGAACTACTCTTCTGAAATGAGTAAATTATACTATGGATCCCCACTTCTTTGTCGGAGGTAGATATTCATGAACTAAATATACTGAGATTAGGTATGTGAATTAAGGATTTGTGAACTTATTACCAAATATTTGGGTGAAGCTAGCTGAACTGTGATTACTATAACTGTAAATTATTCAGGCAGAGTAACTTCAAAATAAATATCTCGGATCTACCAATCACTTCCATAGCGATTTTATCATGTAAGAAATCGTAAAAATTCAAATTCTTGCTAATTTCAGTGATACTAGTGAGAAAATTTCTCCTTGTAAATGGAAATTTCTCGGCTACTATATTGCAATATCCTGTAATATATAGGCCAACTGTAACAAGTATATGATAACAATGTTACCATTGTTCCAAATTATAACCACACTTCACTTTAATTTGAATAACCGGGTAGTATCACTAGTCGTTACGCTGAAATGGTATCTCAAGGCTGGAGTAAATAAACTTACAGTTGTTAATTACGTCTAAGTGTAGTAATTTTTAGATGAAAGTTGTAAATAGTAACGAATTCCATATAGAAATGGAGAAGAAACTGAATAATAAGGTTCCTTGTAAAAATACAGTCGCAAAGCTACTTACATTCAATGTTGTTATTAGATGTTGTGTTTCTCATAACTGCAAGGTTGTCCATCCACAATTTTTGTAGCTAGACATTATCTAATGCGGATACAATCTTTCATATATTCTACACCTAATCACCGAATGCTTACTTCTGGTTTACTAGAACCTGTAAACCAAAATATTTTAAACTCACTTTTGCTGTATTTTAATGTAGAGCTACCTTGTAATGTCATTCATCTCTTGAAAAACACTTTTTTCTGTCTTCTCAACAGATTCATCGAGCTCGAAATAAATGGCGTTTTCATCTGAAGGACGGGATAATGTCCATAAATGGTCGGGATCATATTTTCCAAAAGGCTGTCGGTGAAGCTGAATGGTAGTTTGAGTGGGATGTATTTAGTTATTAGTTTCTTCATATCAAAGGATATCGTCGAAAGATGAATTTGGATGCTGTTCCCTCTGTTTTCCGATGCCATCACGTTTAGTCACTTATATTGATTATTGCAAATGTAAAACTTTGTGAATGACTATAGTCGCAATTGTTGTATGCCTCTTTTAACCAACTTTGCGTTCTGTAAAGAAAAAGATAACCATAATCAATTTCACTTCCTTGCAGTCATAGTAAAGTACTTTTATAGTCGTTTGTAAAATAGAGAATAAATTGAAAACATTAAGAAAAAACTAAACCACCACACAAAATTGACGGATTGCACGATAGAGATAAATTGTAGGATTTGACACCAGTATTCCTCAATAGTTATTCGATCTTAATTATGGTTTAAAAGTTCTTACCTTTATTCTTTCTTCACTCATCCTATCTGTTCATGTTTCATACTATAGAAAAGCCTATAGTTATTGTGCATATATTGTTCATTACTTTATCACATCCAGTTTTATTGTGATTATCTTTTTGTTTGTGTATTTTTTAAGGAAAAAAAACATTTTATTACTGTCTTTTTAACTAAATCGTTGATTATAATAGCAGTGATTATGGTCTTCAGTTATATATATATATATATATATATATATATATATATATATATATATATATATATATATATATATATATATATATATATATATATATATATATATATATATATATAATGATTTAAAGCGCTACATACCATCTGTACTGAAGGTCATATCTACAAAACAAATATTTTCATTCAATCGATTACGCGTGCTCCATTATTTAATTACAATATGGTTCTAAAATAAATAAATAGGTCAAACATTTTGTGGAACAAGTGATGAGTCTTATGTAATTAAACTGACATTGTTCAAGTAATTGTTTCGTCATAGTTAATGATACCGATCTGATCTCTTTTTTAATCCATTAGATAACTGTCATTCCACATTTCTGGGCTGTTTTTTTTGTTGATATCAATCCATAGTATGAGCCTGTTAGGAAGGTATCAAGCATTAGACTATGTATTGATTCAATTACATTCGTTCAAATCAATGTAGTGAAATCCGTTTTTATTTCCACTATTTCACCTATATATTGTTTTAGCCAGCTAATAATCAATACAAGTAAATCTGCATATTTGTTATAGTTGGACCGATCAAGTTTTAAAAAGTACTAAGTCAGACATTCTTTATTTTATAAGACCTTAGGTTGGAAATCTACTGGTAGCTAATTTTTGGTGCTCCACTTCGATATACATGTTTTTCTTCATGCTAGCTGCTAACTGGAACTCCAAGCAGTGGCTAAAGGAGTTGATTTTCAAAAATCGAAATTCGAGTTATAATTTCTCTTCACCCACTTCAATTCGGCTAGCCCAATCACTTGTCCATACTAACAGTTTGGCGCAAACTCGAGCTCAGAAATTTGAACTCGCTTACTGAACCCACTAATAAAAACCAGTAATCATGATAACATAAGAAATAAAAACCCTGAACTTTTCTCTTACAAATCGACTGACTGTAGTAAAATACGACTGCACAAACTATGTGTACGGTCATGCGGTGGCAAAGAATAGCCGCCCTAAACAAACCGCAGTGAAGAAATGGGCTGGAGTCAATGATTTCCATAGGGAAAAGGCAATATATACTAGAAAAAAGCCTTCAATGTGGTTTTTGACCAAAAGACATCTTAAAATAACGTCCAATGAAAGCAAGTTTTCATAATTTCCAACCACAAAGAGTAAAAATAACGATGATCCAAATATTGTCGAGTCAGGTACAAAGAAATCTTTATCACTTATCGGGAAGACCGTTCAGCACTGTCACCATACAAAAAAATAAGACAGAACCACTTTTATAATGGTCAGTTAAAACGTTACTCATATGTAGATAATCGTCTTCAAATGTTTATTATTATATTACGAATGTGTAGCGGTAGATAATCCCCTCAAATAGATGGCTTCATAAACAACAGACATTGATGCTGATCTTGTTAGTGATCATGGATACTAGTAGATGAAAGGGCTCAGTTAAGTTTCACTTTGAGGTTATGACATAACCTGATGTGAGACGCCTTTCCTTTAGATAACCAATTTAGAAGTTTCATGTTCGTCTACTCCTACTTACAATCAAGCATACTTTCCTACTTAGTCATCATCGTCTTCTACTCTGTTTGCCTTCAGGGGAATGGTTGAAACATACATGAAAAACGGTATTGTTCGGTTCTGTTTAATCTAGTGCGTTTTCAGACTTATGATTGAGTGATTATCACAACCATAAATAATAATAAATATAAACCTCCGAAAAGTTAAATCACATTTTCAAAACGTGGCGTAGTATGAACAAAAATATGTTAAGGAGAAAGTTGTCTCTACATTGTTTTATCGTATCGCTGAATGGTTTTCGAAGTTCTGGATGTTGAAGTATTTTAACAGTTAAATTTATGAGTCCATCTAAGCTAGGCCACCGCTGAAAACCTGGACGACCGACCCGTTTGAGTATGAGAATCCCTAGCAATGTGCATCCACGATCCTCCACGCATGACTCATCGGTCTAGAGATTAGGTGCTCGGGCCCCGCGTGCGTAATCGTTGATATGTACTGGTAAAGAGTCCCATACCAGAACGAAACAGCTGTCCAGGTTTCCAATGGTGGTATAGCTTAGGTCGACTTGTGAATTCAGCCGTTAAAATTATTACAATTTCCACAAATCCCTAGTCTATTTAAATATCTGTTGGCTAACAAGAAGGACTGTGTGTAAAGATTTCCCTTTAAATCATAATTACAGAGATCTAAGGTCAAACTTATTTCAACCATTAGTTTTATTTATCCTCTCCAATCAAATGACTTGTGAAGATAGATTATTTGCGTAGCTATCACTCAAATAAAATTCGGTAATATCACTGCTACAAAATTTTCGATCTACAAAAGTTATAAACACTGGGATCACCGTCTTTGTTTTGGTCTCGCAAAGCGTCACTTGTCCGATAATTCTAGAAACGCCTTGATAAGTCGAAGGCTATACTTCATTGTTTTTACTTATTCATAACCTAATATTCGTCTCTTATTTACTTACACCTGTTAGCTCTCTTCCAGCATAGGCCACCGACGCTGTAACGAGCTCTCCTTTCCAGTTTGTTCCAACTGCTATTCACTCTTTTGATGCCTGCCCCCGGTTCCGTGTGCAATGCACTCATCGGTCTCCCTCTTTTCCTTTTACCTTATACAGCAGCTCATCTATGGTGGAAATTCGACTGTATCTAAACGTTCTCGAGTCACTGTCCGGTTGAAAATTGTATGTTACCACCGAATACGAGGACTGAAGCGGTTTTTCTGAAACCACGTGCACCATTCAAACAGGCTGCCTTCAACGTTCGCACATTTATGCAGGTCGGACAACAGATAGGGCTGGTTATGTCTTTGAAGAGTCTTAATATTGATGTTTACTGTCCATCCGAGACCCGTATTCAAGACTCTGGTGAAGTACTACACACTCGCTCTCCATCTGTCGCTTCAAAAAGCGTGTTTTACGTGCGCTTATCCGGGGACCCTGTGGCATCTTCGTCTGGTCTTGCTGGCGTTGGTGTCGCACTAAGCACTAGAGCTGAGGCAGCACTAATCGATTGGATCCCCATTAACAGTCAGTTATGTGCTGTTAGATTAGAAAGTTCCATCAAAGGGAGAAGAAATCGACGTGAGAAACGATGTCTTTTCGTCATCTCCGCCTATGCGCCAACAGATTGCAGCCCGGATACAATCAAGGATGAGTTTTACCACCAGTTATCTGTTCTCCAGAAAGTGCGTTCGACAGATATTGTAGTACTAGCCGGAGACTTGAATGCTCAGGTTGGGCGTCTAGGCACAGAAGAGAGTCGTTTAGGTGGCCGATGAGGACTCGTTGGTCGCCGGTCAGATAACGGGGACCGTCTAATGCAACTTTGCACAGACCACAACCTGTTTCTGGCTAGCACTAACTTTCGACACAGTCATCGGCGATGTGCCACCTGGCGTCCTCCCTCTGCATCCCAACCGCTGGCGTGGTTGTGTACAAGACTGCCGCTCCTTTTCGAGTACCTATCTGGACTCTGACAATGCCTTGATCTGCGCCAATCTTACCTTACTTTTCAGTGGCCAACGAAGTGACCTCCACCAACGGATTGATGTTAACAAGCTGGTTGCAACTTCTGTTGCAAGTAAGTATCGAACCGAGCTAGCTTCTAGGCTATCTACCATTCCACCGAAAAATATAGATGAGCATTGGTTGCAACTCCATGACGCCATCAAAATGGCGGGTATAGTCAGTTGTGGGTTTGCGAAACGTCCCGCTTATGAGCACTGGGTTTCTTCAGGCTCATTACAAATCATTGAAGCCCGTCGGTCTACCCCAGGTGACCATGAGTTTGACCACAAACGAAGGTTGTTGCGTAGTGAAATTAGGCAAAGCTTGTGTAAGAACCGAGAAGCCTGGTGGTCGAAGCGTGCTAATGAGCTGGAAGCAGCAGCTGCATCTGGTAATTACCGGAAGCTCTTCCAACTCATCCGAGCCACTGGCAGCAAGAAGTCTGGTGTGAGTGAAACAATCTGCGAGGATGATGTTGTGCCAATCACTAGCATCCATCAACTCCTTGGACGATGGGCAGAATTCTTCGAAGGGCGGCTCAACTGGCCTGCTGCTCCGGCAACATCGGTTGCACTGTCCTGACTTCCAAGTCCTCAAGGAACTACAACCCTTAAAGCGCTAAAAATCACCGGGCCCAGATGACTTATCTACGGCTCTTTTTAAAGATGGTGGTGACTTTCTGACTAAGGAACTGACGACGTTGTTTACAAAGGTCTGGGAGCTAGAAAGTGTACCAACGTCATGGAATGAGTCGATAGTTGTCCCTATCTTTAAAAAGGGTTCATGTCGTTCCTGTAACAACTATCGGGGGATAAGTCTACTTCCGATTGCGTCCAAGCTGTTGGCTTCTGTCATGCTTTGTAGGTTGTTCAAAACCCGAGAATGTATTGATCACGTCTTCACCCTCCGCCAAATGTTAGAACACCGCCATACTTATCAAAGGGCAACAATCGTAGTGTTTCTTGACATCAGGGCTGCCTTTGATTCGTTGGACAGGACTGTCTATTGAAGAAAAGTGTGCCTGTGAAGTTTATTAACATCTTAAAGGCCCTATATATAAACACCTCAGGCAGAGTGAGGGCATACAACCACCTTTCTCCATTGTTCCATTCGAGCAGT